TAAGTATTATTATTGTTATTATTATTCAAAATAACTAAATGTTTTATCTTCAAGTATGACCGTACATTATATAAAAGCGTTAACGATAAACATACAATTGATAATTTRTCATCAGTTTAGAAAAATATGAATATAATATACTTAGATTAAAATATGCATGATCGTAGATTTATATTGTTCAAAATTTAAGAGCCGCTACAAGCTTATTATTTATGTCGACAGCGTATTCACATAAACATAAATTATTTTCAATACAGTAAAAAAAAATAAAAAAAATATTTAACATATAATATGTAATATAAAACTCAGATTATTTTATTCAAAAAGTAATTCAGTTAACTATATGATATATGCAGTAAAAGACTGAAGAACCCTATTTTAATTATAATGTACCATACTTATTTACATAATGATTTATTTGAAACAAATATAAAAACTACCTAAATAACATTTTATTGTCTTATAATGACTAAAGTTTTTATACCCACTGCTGAATCAATATAGCATATTATTAAATACAATTTACAATTATTATAATATGACACGTATAATAGTCAATTAATGTATACGTTATTATTTACTCCATCGATTTTCGTGACTCGAGACACAATGTCTTCTTAAGTTGGATCGATCATTATTTAACATGCACGGGACTATATAATAATATGCTCTACGTTCGAGTCCTCTCGTCATATAGTTTAATGAGACAATGGAAAATACATCTTGTCGCGATTTCGCATCGTGTAACAACGATGAGCTTGTTACGAACGCTGTTTTAACGTTTCAAAAGCTTGTATACCGCGTTCTTTCTTTATAGCCATATTTTCATAACAATATCAAGACCGTATGATGACGTTAATAATAATAATACTCTTTAGTTCGACTTTTGACTAATAACCAAAATAACAACATCCAAAGTTATATAGCCGTATTATATTGTTATGGCCTCTGGATATCTCACCGTCATAGCGTCGAAGAAAGGATACCAAATATAATATGGCACAGAGAAAACTRTCCGGAAAAAAGTTCAAAGTTATTCGATTATCTAACTATATCTTCGTGTATCTACTATAATATAGAAAAACGAACAATTTAAATACTATAAAACGGAGAAATTTTTATGATTCTTGCGACGAATTATTTATTATTATTTTTTCCATATAACAAAACCTACTCATTCGGTCGATATTTTTACAACTTGCTCATAATATATATATATA